AAATAATAATTAATCAAAAAGCACAGGGAGACCAATTAGAGGAAGTAAGTAGAATACATTAATATGATTAAATCAATTACTGCTGACAAAAACATCGCAGGCTCAAGTTTACAGGAAAGTGATCGAGCGAGCGAGCGAGTGACAGCTTGTCTCCTCCCAATAACTCTACGATTGCTACCGCAATCTCCGAGTTAATGATAAGTTAATGAATGCANTCACTGACCGCCATGTTAGCCACGAAGTAGTTGGTGGTAGTTTTCAAGCGATTGTCCTTGTACACTATCCATATAATGAGCGGGTTAACGATGATGGCCACAAAGAATTGAATAGAGAAAGCAATCGTCCACTTCACCTTGTTTCCGTAGTCGAAATGATGAAGAAAGCTTGCGTTAGACGAGTTCCACGAAGTGTTAGCAGCCATAGTAATTTCTAAGTCTTGTATGTGACTTGTCCGTATAACCAAGCAAAAATTGAATCATAAGTACAACAAGATACTCGAAGCAGATCTTGAATGAAATCAACCCGAGTTAACGCACTTTGAAATGTAATTGAAAACGAAAATTCTGTAATTTGATTGGTTTAGAGAATTGGCACAGAATCTTATTGAGTCATATTTAAATGAAATTAGCAGCTTTAGTGTAAGTACACCCATTACAGCTTTATCAAATTAGCATGAATACTGAATAGGAAAAAAACCCAATAGATATACTTAGTTTTCCACTAACCTTCCTAAATCGTGATCGCCATTAGAAATAACATCTGATACACCGCAGGCGGACAAGAGGAGTAATACATATAATAACTAATATCTAATTATTTTGCCTCAAACACTTTATATATATGATTTGTAACTTGAATGAGCATTGTTTTTTAACCAAGCGAAAATCTCTTGAGTTGGACGTAATAAATTCAATAACTTAAGTCATTTTTTTCAAGCTGACATCAATATAAATTTGTTTGCATAAGACTGTATCAATATCTTTAGAAGTTTTCCTCGAATATTGATCTAATTTGTGGAATATATTTTCTCAAGGCGTGCCCTTCATTATTAAGGTTATATAGACATCTGAATGTAAAATGAAAATATGATCTATCGTTTCGCTGCCGGGGATTCTCTAGTTATCGGCTGAATTTTTCCCCTGCGGCATCCCCCAACTCTTCAGTGTTGATTTAGGCACGATTAATCAGCCCACAATTACATTGAGAAAATCAAATAAAACTCTCTAAGCAGGTACACTGTTCAAATGCTTTCATAAAATAATGTGAATTCGCTTTGAATCGACCCAATAGTTATCTATGAATTGAAGAAGCTAATCAAATACTTATTAAAAGTGTTTGAACAGCGTATTAAAGCATTTCAAGCTCGAGAGTTGCCTGGGTACGAACTTAAAGGGCTACTTGGCTACGAGAACATCACTGACCGCCATGTTGGCCACGAAGTAGTTTGTGGTAGTTTTCAAGCGATTGTCCTTGTACACTATCCATATGATGAGCGGGTTAACGATAATGGCCACAGTGAATTGAATAGAGAAAGCAATCGTCCAATTCACCTTATTACGGGCTTATTACCGTAGACAAAATCATGATGAAAGCTTGCGTTAGAAGTGTTTGCAATCATAGTAATTTCTATGTCTTGAATGTGGTATAACCAAACAAAAGTTGAATCAAAAGTGCAGTAAAATACTCGGAAAATGATCGGAATTACCCCAAGTGAACGCACTTTCAAATGTAACTTAAAATAAAAATTTTGCAAATTTTATTGGTTTAAAAAGTGGCATTCTCAAAGCACAGTGATATTTCAAGTCACTATGGTAACCAGTGCTTTTATAGGATAAAACGTCACAATCGAAACTCATATTGGTTCATATTGAAATCAAAAGAGCAGTGTTTTTTGTAAGTACAACCCATTAAAGCTTTTACATGGGCAATATCCTGTAATGCACGCCCTGTGTGGCGGCAAAAMAYACTCAATTCACACAAGCGCAGCCGGACAAGAGAAGCGATAATCATTATCTATCATTTWATGTAACTTTAATGAGCCTCGATATTTTTACCAAGCGAAAACCTCTAGAGTTTGTCCTAAACTAATTCTTTAATCCATCTTATTCAAGCTGTCATCGATATTTTCTTTGTTTGCACAAGGCTATCAACCTCTTTAGAAATTTTCACGAGTATCACGTATATTTTCCCAAGGTGCGCCTTAATAAAGCTGAATGTAAAACGAAAATATAATCTATTGTGCCGATATTCTCTAGTTATCTACTGAAATTTCCCCAACAGCATAGGCCAAGTCTTCAATGTTGATTTACGCAAATAATATCCTATCATCTTAATTAATTAAGAGTATTGTAATTAAGAGTACAATTTAGCCTCCAATGGCTACCGTTCTCTTTTAATAAAGTTATTATTATTAATCAGCCCAAAATTACACAGAGAAAATAAAATAAAACTCTCTAATCAGATACACTGTTCAAACGCTTACATAATATAATGTATAATATAATGTGAGTTCGCTTTGTATCTACCCAATAGTTATCTATGAATTAAGAAGCTACATCAGACACAGATTAAGAGTAAAATGGTGGGAACTAGTGGTAAACTAGTGTGAGCTGCGTCAGTGTTTCTAAAGAAACAGTTGTGTAAAAAGATAAATTTAACACCGTAAAAAAAGTATGTGAAATACCTTACTGACGTTTCGGACGTTAATCCTTCGTCGGAGTAAAGAGATGGAACTAGATTAAGAGTGTTTGAACAGYGYATCAAARCAYTTCAAGCTCGAGAGTTGCCTGAGTACGAACTTAACCAACCGACTCGTCCCCACTCTCAYACATATTTTCAAAATGACGTCACTTGTCATATGTTTCAATAGAAAGTATGGCAACTATAAGTATCCATTGACAATCCATTTCTATTCGTCTTCTTGCTTAAATGCAATATCTCAACCTTAGACGAATAGAGGCTTGAAACTGTTAAATTCATTATGGTAAAAGCTTGCAACGTTCGGTCAGTCATTCTATCGTTTCATCTTGCGCACCTATGCGATTCGTTGCTCCTCGGATTTCGCCAACATGKTTTTTTCGACAACAAAACTTTAAACAGCTGATTAATATAGTTTTGATGTTCTCTCGGTAAATCTCATTGCATAGAAGATAGACAAAAAAATTGTAGACAAGAACCATGCAGAGTAAAAGATTTGAACCATTAACAATGTCCATCTCCGTCGATTTGCTAATGCGAAGGTTTAATTTAAGTTCATACAACAAAATAATCGCTAAGAAATAGCTTCCCCAACTTAAGTAAAGTAAAACTATGATAGTCACAGACATCTTTAGGATTTTCTTGGTCTGTTGTTCYCGTYTTCTAATAGTGGCATCACTCTGCTGACCCGGTAGCTTATGTTTGTAAAGTCTGTAAACAGTTASWRTATAACAGAAAGTTAAAATCGGAAATATCACAGCGCCATGCAGAATGAAGGCTGTTAAAAAGTACACTCTGCTCACGAAGATRARTTTTCTSGGGACGTGACACAGTCTCTCTTTACCATATTGGTACGAGCCATTAAGATATAAATTTGGAGAAGAAAAGATGACTGCCACGATCCAAATTCCTAATAAAACATACTTTATCCTTTTCTGGAAAGGTCTTTTCATAGGACGAACAACTGCGTAATAGCGTTCAATGGCGATGAAACAAGAACTGTACAAAGATACAGTCAAACAAGGCACCATTAAACTATTGTTCAATTTGCACAAAGCGTTTCCCAAGACGCCACCAATAAGCCATCTATGACCATGGTGAATGGAGACCAACCTATTAGGAAACACGAAYATTGCWGCRAGAACATCACTGACCGCCATGTTRGCCACSAAGTAGTTGGTGGTAGTTTTCAAGCGWTTGTCYTTGTACACTATCCATATAATGAGCGGGTTAACGATGATGGCCACAAAGAATTGAATAGAGAAAGCAATCGTCCACTTCACCTTGTTTCCGTAGTCGAAATCATGAAGAAAGCTTGCGTTAGACGAGTTCCACGAAGTGTTAGCAGTCATAGTATTCTTGTATGTGGCTTTTATACGTATAACCAAGCAAAAATTGACTCAGAAGTGCAGCAAGATACACCCAGATTGAATGAAATTAGCCCAAGTGAACGCACTTTGACACGTAATTAAAAATAATCTGCAATTTGATTGGTTTTAAAAGTGGCAATTTCAAAGCACAGTGATATTTGTGTAGAACCATGAATAATTTCAAAACGGGACTGAATTTCTGTCATCTAAAACAGAATCTTTTACTGTATGTAATATCTTGCAATGCACACCCTGTGTAGCGGCAAAAAAATTCAATTCATACAGGACCACCCGGATAAGAGCACTGATAATCGAAATCTATCATTTGTAACTTTGATGAGCCTTGTTTTTTTTTCGCCAAGCAAAAACCTGAGTTTACCGTTATAAATTCAATAACTTTATTCAATTTATTCAAGCTGTCATAAGTATATTCTTTGTTTGCACAAGACGATATCAATATCCTTAGACGTTTTACTCCGATATTGATCTAATTTGTGGAAAAATATTTTCTCAAGGCGTGCCCTTAATCATTAAGGTTCCCCAAGGCATCACCCAACTCTTCAATGTTGATTTAGGCTCGATTAATCAGCCCACAATTACAATGCGAAAATCAAATAAAACTCTCTAAGAAGGTACACTGTTCAATCGCCTACATAGAATAATGTGAATTCTCCTTGAATCTACCCAATAGTTATCTATGAATTAAGAAGCTGTATCAGACACAGATTAAGAGTGTTTGAACAGCGTATCAAAACACTTCAAGCTCGAGAGTTGCCTGGGTACGAACTTAACCAACCGGCTTGTCCCCACTCTCACTCACGCACATTCTCAAAATGACGTCACTTGCCTCTTGAAAATAGCGAAGTTTCGGGCACAGAAAGCCCCATCTTAAAAAAACATAACAATATTACAACAAGAGGTAAAAAACTTCACCTGCTTTGCTTCTTGAGGCTCGCTCCAGTCCACACATTTGAGAAACTTCGTCAAGGCCTAGAACCCATTAGTTTAAATGTAAGTGCAGAAAATTATACGGCATTGAACGTGATGAAGCCGTTTACCTTCTTTTGGTTTGTGAGGTAAAATCGAAACTGCCAAACCAAATCCTTCTCCTCGGATGTAAGATTTTTTGTTGGAGGATAACTGACGATTTGCTGATATTAAAACAAGAAAGGGCAAGGTTAAAAAGAGTTTGTTGATAAATAATTGCGATTCAAGGACCTAAAACAACAAAGGAAGCAAAAAACTCGTGACAGAGAAGAATGAAAGTGAGGGAAGAAAGAAAGTMGACACAAAGGAAGAAAAGGTAAATGGAAAATGAATGAAAAATTAGAAAGGCAGGAAGGAATGAGAGCAGGATTGAGGAGATGAAAGTACGGAAAGAACGAGAGGAAAAAAAAGAGAGGGGAAGTAATGCTCTGGACAAAGGAAGGAAGAAAGAAAGAGAAGATGGAAGAGTATGGAAGATGGAACAGGATGGATGAAAGGGAGGATGAATGAGAGGGAGGGAGGAAGAAGGTTCAGTGGAGGGAGAAAAGGAATCAATGAAGAAAGGAATAAGGAAAGAAAGAGAAGGAAGAGTATGGAAGATAGAAAAGGATGGATGAAAGTGAGGATGAATGAGAGGGAGAGAGGAAGGTTTGGAGGGAGAAAAGGAAGCAATGAAGAAAGGAATAAGGAAAGAAAGAGAAGATGGATGGAAGAGTATGGAAGATAGAAAAGGATGGATGAATGAGAGGGAGGGAGAAAGAAGGTTTGGAGGTAGAAAATGAAGCAAGGAATAAGGAAATGGCTACATTCCTACCGTAAGCTGGTCCCTTATTTTAGCGTTGGGTTTCAGATCCCTTGAGACAGTTCCACTGCGTATGCTTCTCACTAACTTATGATGCTTGATTTCGACTAAATTCTCCTAGGAAAAAAAAAAACATTAACGATAATCTGAGCTTCACGTTCTTAACGAGCTAAGGGAAAATGGAATGAACCGTGATCGAGACAAGAAAAATCATAAAGGCATCCAATAACCCATTCCCACATTTCACTGCAAGAGGAAAGTGTCTCCTTTTATTCCGACGATCGCTTATTACCAAAGATATCATCCAATTTGTACTTACTAGTAACGTTTCTGGATCAGATAACTTGACGATCTCAGGCTGAGTACAAACATAGTCCACATCGTCGGCATCCTGGACATTGTAAAACAGATGTCAACACAACTGTCACTAAAAGCTTGCGTGAACACGTGGCGGCATAACAACGCGAAAATAAAATRTTATTGCTGTTGTTAGAATCTGTTGCTGTAGAAATTTGTGAAATAACATTTGTTTTATATATGCGTGTTTYCATGTCAACAGACAAGGATACGCATATCCTCCCCCACAGGCGTCTAGTTTTTCCATTTCGTCCCGCTCCCTTACTGATCTAACACAGGAAGTCCGTTATTTTTAGAAGGGTAAGAGACGCCTTCCGAGGAGACTTGGATTTCAGCATTTTACGAAGAAGAATAAGAAAGATGCCGGTCCATTTGTATTCATACATATCCGAAATTGATCCGTTTTGACGCGGATACGGCTTAAGTTATTTGTTTCCAATAAAAGATCCGTTAACTCTGTATACAATTCCTATTCCTGTTTTTGAAACGTTTTTTTTTTTTGAACAGGTGCAAAAGACGCATCAAAACTATAAAATTTACAACACATAATAATTGTTAGACTATAGGGTTTCTAAAGCAAAAGGGACCCAGAAAAAGCTATCGCAGGAATCGTTTTAGTTAATCCGCCATATTTTTTTTCTGGTTATCTTCAGTTTCAGTGAAGTCAGTAAACAGACCACAGAAAAACCTCAAACCATTAACAATTTATTACAGGTGGAACTGAAAAAATGATTTGACAACGCTAATTGTAAAGAAATAACAGCAAAATAACACGGTTTGTCATTCTTTCCTTGACAAGTATGGAGCGCTATTTGAAATGACAAAGTTATAAATATCTTAATGAAAAATGAAAAAGAGATGGGAAGATGTAGATTAAATGTAAACATTTTGGCGATAGATTGTCGCAATTTATTTCTCATTCTAGTTTCAAAATCATTTACTGTAATATAACCCCTCATAGATGTTTATAGATACTTTTGCAGTTCAAACCCGGAGAGTCGTTGTATTAGTTTTGGCGCTAAATGCGTGCGTAACCTTATATATTTAGACTTACAGACTATGTTACACCGAAGAAAAAACAAATTCATACTCGCCAGGCTGCGACGTTGATGTTGGAATATTTCATTCAACTTCATTCTCTAGCTCCAAATTTCTATTCTGCGCTTAAAAACTGTCGTGTAAGAAGCATAAATATTTGAAAAGAAAGAACGAAATAATTCTTATGTAACGATTATTTTGAGAACAAGTTTTTTGCGTCTAAAAAGCAATATTCGATATCCAAAACAGTTTTCGATCCCACTGAATGTTTGAAAAATCTGCTAAAATAAAACAAATTGGCCTAAAATAAAAAAAACAATTTCCCAAATGAAGGAATATACTTGAAACGAGTAGGATTGAAGATCCATTTCAAAATGATATTTACAGTTTTAATTGCTATTGTCCTTTTTAAAACACAACATAGCCCTTTCCCTGCTCCTTGTAAGTCAATTTGAATTGCAATATTAAATACTTCATTATTTCAAAACCCTTGGTTACCTGCAATAAGGATTCTGTATCTTCCTGTTTTCCAATCGCTTGAACGATACAACCGAGACCCATGCTTGTACAATTGTACTTCAAAGCGTCAAAAACCTTTATAAATTTCTACTTTTCAAAGCTCAAGACAACATTCTCCCACGAGTTGCGTTCACTGTCGTTAAAGACTACTTTAAAATACGGTTGAGACAAACACAGACTAAATTAACTGCTAAATACCCTTAAACGTTTTCACAAAATGGCAGCGCGAGCCAAAAAATGTAACGCAATACTAAAAGTCAAGAATTCGTGACAGTGACAGAATGCGCGACACGGAAGTTTACCTTTTCAAAATATACGACGTTAAAGTCTGTTCCATCAAAATGAATTCTCGGGAATTTTATCATCAAGTACATAAAATTGGAGTTTCGTTTCTCTTTCTGTAGGAAGAACCAAAGTAGAACAGTGAGAAATAAAAAAATGAAATGATCGCGATGAGTCACACCCGTCTAATATCACCAATTCATGGGGGTCAGGAGAAGTAAAGTGTTTACGGCGACTACCGCTATCAACCTCGTTCCCAGGGCTACTCTGCGCAGAGTAGCCCTGGGAACGAGGTTGTACCGCTATTGCCTTGGTCTTCCTGTGTATTACCACAGGAATCCCAACACGGACACAAAATTTCAAAATAACCATGTGAAAAAATTGGAAAACTAAGTATACTAAGTTACCTCATTAATCATTTCAATTTCTCTAAAGGTAAGACGATCCAACCAGTCCACTTTCTGCATTTGACCTTTGTGGTGCTTCTTACTTAGCTGTGAAAAAGAATCATGCATAATCTATAACAATGGACAATGTGCACTTCCTTGAATAAACCATTATTATATTACAACAAAACTCACACCAGTTTTAACACTAATCATCTTATAATTATTACATATCAACTGATTGGATGGGATATTTTAATCAAGTATCCAGCAAACTATAGACTATCACAAACCCATCATGATTATGATTATCTAGTGGAGCTATATATTCATATATGGTTGTGTTAAATCTAGTGAAATTGGTCACAAAAAATTGAGAAAAGTTCATTTTTATGTTCTTTTGTCAAATTTTTCCATGTAGTCTGTTGGAAAATATACAAGTTGATAAAAGGTGATACTCTATTCCAGGCTGGGTTATTTGAGTCTTGATTAGTGTTAATCTAGGGTGTTACCAAGATTAGTGCTAATTGAGCTTCAAACAGCCCCGCCCAGGTGAGTATGGCTTCATGGACTATAAACTTGTGTTCTGCTCAGCCTAAGGTCTAATTTTTAAGTACAAAATATCCCATCCCTCCCCTCCCTCACTGGTTATAAGAGGTACCTTTGCAAGTCGATTCATCTGATCTTCATTTGATAATGTTTTTCCTGGTGTTGTTGTTGGTAAGTGACCATCAGATTCAACTCCTGGCCAAACCCTCAGATCATGCATTCCGTGCCGCAGGGTACTAGTAGTAAAGTTAAGATGTGTTAGGACATAATAATGTTCTATAGCCTGATTTTCATATGCCTGTGGATCCATCCCTAAAGCTTTCCTCCCCCAATTCAATGACTACAAAATTAATAAGTTATTTTTCAGTAAACATACCCATATTTTCCAAATAGAGACACAGTTGTCCCACCAACTGGCACAGCTTTCCTTGGGCCATAGATGTCCCAGATAGTAAATGCAAGCTGTGCATTGCGTGGTAAGTCAGGATATTTGATTGGCAGTTTTATCCATTCGTTCCAGCTTTATCAAAGTGATAAAGGGAAAAAGACATGATTATGATGATGTTGGAACAATGAGGGAATTGATGAGTGGGATGGATAGAAAGACAAAGAAATGAATGGTTGGATGAATGAATGCACAGATGGAAAATGAAAGAAGAACTAAAAAAAATATGGATAAGGATATACAGATTAATAGATGGATAGATAAATGCCATGAAAAATTAGAAATTTAACAGATGTATATGAAAGAATGAATAGCTAGTCTTCTCCACGGTTCTCTGTACCATCTTGAAAGGTAGCCTCCTTACCTTTGCATCAATGACTGTTGAGCGTGCAATGATAGAAACCTTCTTTCACACCTACAGACAATTAAACACTGGTATCTATCATTGCACGCTCAACAGTTGTCTCGCTTCGATGTAAGGGATGGCTACCTTTTAAGATGGCGCAGGTAACCGTGAAGGACACTATTGATGGATGGATTTACAGAAGGATGGATAGACACATAGATTGATCAATGAACACCTTGATGGATGAACGCATTGAGCAGATGGATGGAAGAATGAGAGACTGGATGGATGGACAGACGAAGAGATGCATGCATTCAAGCAGAAGCATATAATCAGAATAAAACTTGTTTTGAAAAGTTCTAGTTACTGTAATGTAGAGGAATTGATCTTACTTCCATCTTGTGCTAAAAGGTCTGTAAGAGGTGCTTGTTGGTAGTGACAGTGGTTGTCCATCCGCATATATTCTGCATGTCACATATAAATCTGAACAGGAACTGAAAAGAAAATGCATGCACTTAGTGGCAAGGTTAACACAGGAAGCCCATGTCAAGCCATATCTATCTTATGATTTTTMTGCACTGAGATTTACCTTTGATATAACCCAGAATATCTTAATTGTGGATCATCAAGCAGTTCTTTGTATCCTTTACATTCTCGTTTACCTTCTAATGTACAACTGAAAAAGATGAAGTGTGCCTTATTACATAAGAAATGAATGACTTTTTTAACTTTTGGTAAATAAAAATTGGAAATAATGATAAGTGGAAATTTCGCTATTTCTTGAGATCAAACAGCGAGAGCTACCTGGAGCAAGTCTAAGGAGTAAACGACAGGTTTTTTTCTTTTAATCATTGCTGGCCATATGACAACAAACCACAAAGTCATGTTGATTTGTCTTCAAGAACAATATCTAGCTCCATTTAAATCAAAAACACACATATCAATTCAAGATTCCTGCGGTTAAGAGTAAATAAATATAATAAATACAATACAAAGACTTTTAATTTTATCAAAACTCGATCGAATCGATGGCAGGAAGTAAGCTAAAAATCATGGTACCCTTGTGATGGGAGTTTCTCGCAAATAGTGTATATATTTTACAACAATATAAAATGCTTCAAAGCAAAATTCCAGAGATTATTGCACTTACATTTTTATTTCGAGGTTTGCGTCTAGATCAGAACTGTAAATATAGTAAAATCGGTCTTGGTTCAACCCGTTGTCCATGTTATTGAGCTACCATTTTGAATTTTTGCCTGCGGTACTATGTAATCAGCGGAAACGACAAAACAATATAGGCAACCCATATTAAAATAATCTTAAATTAATCTCTGAAATTGTTTCTTTTTAGAACGGCAATAAGGTTTTGTTACTTGATAATACTGTAAAGTTTTTCATTATTTATCCATTTTCTTATGTGATTTCCTTTAGAGCAAACCCACAAAGGGACAGATAAAAYTTTCAAATATTTTGCGCCCGCAATTTCTTTAACTAGGGCAGCTAAAGTAACACTATATGCGCGCCATTCAAMTGCGCACCAATATGGCGGACGAGAAGGAGTTTGTATTGATGTGTTAAATTTTCGAAGAAAATATATACTTTTCAGGGAAGTAGCTATCAAATTATAGTGGGGAAAGAAAGGAGATGACGCGAACTGCACGTATGTCAAAGAAGAAGCATCTTGAAGCTACTTCTTGGGAGGAAATGAGGTTGAAAGGTAATTTGTTGTGAGCACGTGGCTACAATTTCTTGTCTTATAAACTTATTTATCACAGTTTTTTTAATTTCTCAGGCGATCATAAAGATGAACAGGAATCAAAAAACGACTTGGGCAATGATGAGAAAATATTGGAATCGCAGTCGCACAAGAAAAAATCGCGAAAACGAGAGAAAACAGACGTAAATTTTAATGAAGAAACTGGAAAGAAGAAAAAGAAAATAGAAAGCTCTGAAGAAAAAACGGAATTAGGCAGTAATGATACCACAGAAATTCATCAAGAGAAGAAGAAAAAGAAGAAAAAGACCAAAGGTGCCATTCCCTCAGAAAATGATCCAAAACCTCAGTCCAAAGACAGTGATGTCATTTGTAGTAAAAACAACAGTAAAAACAAAAAAGATAGATCAAATGGCAAAAATCAGGAACTTAAAACTCATGGATCATTTAAGTCACACAGAGAACAAAAACTTGAGAAACAGAGGGAGGCAAGGAGAAGGAGGAGGGCAAAAAGAAAAGTATGTCGACTACAACAGCAACAAATAGTTATATTATTAATCATTCAGGATATATACATCTTGGTTGGTAAAGAGCTTACCCTGGTTCCAGAGGCTTGTCTTTTATTCTTTTGCTAACTATGTTGTCGAGCCCAGAAGCAGCAAGATGTTTCCATTAATTGGTTTGTTTTTATGCCAAGCCTCTGGTTTCAAGCATATAAAATCTCACTTGAATTAATGCTGTATTTTAGCAAACCTATTACGAATCAGAGTAATATGATCTGTTATTTGTGATGACCTGTTATTGGTTTGTTTATTTGACAGCTAAAATATTGTGCTTTAAAGAAGACCCAGCTAGTAATTTATTTTAATTGTTGTCCATCAGTTATTTATCACTGAAAATTATTTTGAAAATCCCAACAGGGTTTCTTACAGGGTTTAACTTGCTTCCACTGCCGTCAGACTGGACATACCACAGCTACTTGTCCACAAACTAATAACCAAGGAGTTGGTGTTGGTGTGTGCTACAAGTGCGGGTCCTCCAGTCACACTACAAAGAATTGCAAGGTTGACACTTCTCAAGGTCTGTCAAGAGATATTCTACAATACTTGTACATGTGCATATTTTAAAATGTATAATAGAATGGAAAAGCTATTCATTATACTCAAATCAAATATGTGCTCAAAATAATTGAATTGAAAAAAGAATGTGTAAGCCCTTGGTCTGCTGCACCTGATAAAGAGTTCGCTCTTGAAACAAGCATTAGTAACGACTCCAGCGTAGTGTATTACTGTACTTCCTTTAACTTTAAATAGCTCAAATATTTGAGTACTTTATATTATATTCAGGTCAATCCTTATTCTGCAGTTTATT